TCCTGTGAAATAAGGACATTCCCTGCCCTGCCTTATTTTCTGGGCTAAATGAGACAAAGAGAGAAAGTTGGGACAGCAGGATCCTGCAGAGCCACAGTGGTAGGTATCACCTCATCACCCACCTTCCTTGGAATCTCAGACCTCCTCCACCTGCCCAGGTCTCTCTGCTCAGCTAGTGGCAGAAGGAAACACCTATGTAACCACATAAACATTTCATATCAATCCTAAACACCATCAGGATGGTGAGTTTCATAGCTACCCCTTAAAATGTATAAGTGCTTTGGAAATGATGAATTGCTCTACAAATAAGAGTAAACTGCATTAAGTACCTATTCTGTGCTGGGTGCCTTAAACCCATTACCTATATTTGCTCTCTGGCTATTATTACTCCAGTCTCACAGATAAGAAAACTGAGGACCAAAGAGGATGAGTGAGTTCCTCGGTTCAGTGCTGAGAATAGAATTGGAAGCCAGGTCATTGTGGCTCCAAAGCCCTCTCCAAGATACCATGCTATCTCCCAAAGCAAGGTGGCATCAGCACTTTAGTGTTAAATCCTTAGCAAAAAGGCCTCTATATCACTTCCTGTTAACATTCATAAAACATTCCTTAGCAATAGTGACCTCCCATGATGATGTGTATTTTAAGGCTGAGCTCTAAGCTCACACAAGTCTACCCTAAGCCATCTCAGTCAAACCAGGTGCAACTTAATGGGGAGATGCTGAAGATAAATGGCAGTCTCCATTCCTAGGCAATAAAAAGGCCTCTGTGGAACCACAATCCAAATCACTGCTTAAAAAGCCATTTCTACATCAAGACAATGATATGGTAGATACCTTATTATTATCTAATAATAAGTTACATTATTAGACATAACTATTGTATTGTATTTCTCAGTCCCCATTCTGAGTCTTCTAAGCCAGAAAAGGATGTCTGACTTTGATGTGATATTTCAAGGATAGGAAGAAGAAACCCTACATCATTGTCATTTGTTCAAAGGTGACTGACTCAAGAAGATAGTCACATGGAAGGTGAGGCCATTAGTTATTATTGGAGTACCACATTACTCTGGTACCTCCAGCATTTAATGAAATATTCTGTCTAATCTCTGACTCAATAGAGGCAAAGCTCTCAGAAACCAGAGTCTATCTTCTACTTCTACTACCTCCAGGCCCTAAGAAAGGACTCGGCTCCCTAGTTCTCCTTCCCTCTATGCCCTGTTGTCTATCTTAGATTTTGCTGAATTCCCTATGATATGAGGTTCTTTAAAGGCACTGACAAACCACACAATCACCCAGGACACAGGCACAGGCCATGATCTGGGGCCTGGGAGGGTCTGGCAGGCAGAAAGGGTAAAACAAATGTTCTATGGAATAAGTGCATGCCTAGGGATAACAGAGCCAGGCCCTTGTTGTTCTACTTTGTGAATGACTGGTGTCCACTCGAATTCTAACCCCCTTGCCTCTAAAACCCCAGCACACTCCTGACCTCTTCTCCCTATTTCTACTCATATGTTCAAAGGAATGAGTTGAACATCAGGCTAAATCTAATATAAACTGGATCATGACTCATTGAAATCAATACTGTATATGGTACAAAAGAATCAGAAGAGTGTGGGACATAACACTCCCAGGTCTTCATGTGGGATTAACCCCAAACATCTTTGAGCCTTAATAATGGATGTAAGACCCTGAAACCCGATATTCTTTAGACCTTAGTTCCTTTAACACCAAAAAATGGGGATGACATGTCAGAGACTCGTATGGAGTGCAAATACTATAGTGCATAGAGAGCCCAGAGTAAAAGGCATGATAAAATTGACTAGTCCAGTAGCCAGGTGCAGTGGTGCATGCCTGTAATCCCAGCAGCTCAGGAGGCTGAGGCAGGAGGATTGTGAGTTCAAGGCCAGCCTCAACAACTTAACAAGGCCCTAAGCAACTCAGGGGTCTCTAAATAGAATATAAAAAAGGGCTAAAGAGGGCTGGGATTGCAGCCCAGTGGTAGAGCACTTGCCTAGCATGTTTGAGGCACTGAGTTAGAGTCTCAGCACTACATATAAATAAATAAACTAAATAAAGGTCCATAATCAAAAAAAAAAAAAAAGGGGGGGTGGGGGAGACTGAAGATATGACTCAGTCAATATGATATGAATCAGTTCAATCTCTGGTAAGAAAAAAAATATTGACTAGCCCATTCTATAGGAAAATTGCATCCCCTGGAATGGAGATACTAGATGGGGAGAGTGGAAAAGCTGTAAGTATTCCATACTTACAGGACAAAGGTAGGCAGCATACACACTACCCATGTTATCCTGAAAGGAACGGAGGGCAGGTAAGGTGACTGCCCATCTCAGATCTTCTTACACACTGGCTGGATTTGAACACTCTCTGGAGAGGCACTCAGTTTCACCATTTGTATTCCATGTGGACAGGACATGGTCAAGGAGTGTGGAGCTGGTATTTGGAACCACCACAGGAAATTTGGACAACATGAACTCAAAGGACAAAAAATATACACATAAAAACACCTAAGCCTGACTAAAAGATCAAAATCATACAACTTAGTTAGAATAAAACCATGTGTATTTTCTTTGGGCCCTAAACATGCTGATGGAAATAGATTTAACAAGAGTCAGCTGGGCCTTTTCTCAATGAACTTTATGCATTCCAAAGCCAAATCTGATAATTAGAACAGAATTTTGCAATGTTTTTCATATCTATTTAATACCAAATTTTAAGCAAAGCCAAGGGGCCTCAAGAATATACAAATCTCATTTAGTGCTGATGGGAGTACAGGCTGGAACAGCTGAAGGGCAGGTGACACATCTTACAGCTCTTCAAATATGCATGGCCTTTAACCAAGTATTTCCTATTCTAGGGATCTATTATAAGGAAATAATCAAAATGAAGATTAAGATGCAAGGATGCCCATTAGAGCATTATTTACAATAGGAAAATATTAAGACTATAATTTCCAACAAATGAAGAGATGGATTTTCTATTAGGATACACATGATGGAATCTTACAAAGTCATTGAAATTAGGATGGGAAGACATTCATAATATAATGCCAATTTCAATTAAACATTTTTATTAATCACATATTGCATGGAAGACTACAGTAGGCAATAAAGTTGCATCAGTTAAGAAAGTACAATTCTTAGCCTCATAGAGCTTATAATTGATCAGGGAAATCAGATATTGAGATTAGTAATAATACTAGAGAGTAGTAGTATAAGGTACATTGGAAGTAAGTAACAAAGGGATTTAACCTAGTCTGAGGGGTCATGGAAGGCCCTCCTGAGGAAGGGATGCTTGTGGGGTAATGAAAGACAAATAGGAGCTACATGGGCAAAGAGGCAAGAAAAACACCTTGGAAAATGAATAGCAATTTTAAAAATTATACCTATCAAAAAAGACATTTCAACTGTACATGTAAAATGAACTTACTTATATTGAAAAATGATTTTGTATATGCATTTTATAAATATAAAATATGAAAGGATATAAACCATAATCTTACCTAGGAGATGTAATACATGTAATTTTTTATTTATTTATTTTTACTTTTGCTTGCTAACATTTTCTGATCTTTTCCTGTAATCTACATATGTGGATAGTGTTTTCAAGGATGGGCAAATGGATGGATGGGTGGAAGGATGAATGAGTAGATGGAACAATGGATGGTAACCAGACCCGAGGGAAGGATTGAGCTGGGCATTACATGAGACTAGCTTTCTTCTCTTGCAGTCTCCCTTCAATTACTAGAATCCAAGACCTGCTCCAGAAGCATGTGTTCTCCCAATTTCTAAAATCACTTTGTTTTTTCTAAGGCATTTCATCTACCCTAGAAACAAGTTCATCAGTCAAAAGCAAAGCCAACACTACAATTCACTGCAATTCCAAACAGGTTTCTCTCAATACTGGACTTTCAAACCACACACACACAAAAAGAGCTATATTGGCATAGCTATTCATTAATGTTTCACCTAAATAACTGTTGGCGACAAGACAAATTATTTTAGAAAGAGATGGATGAAGGAAAGGGGTAAAAAGGAAATAAAAACGTTGAAACTGAGATTGTGATCATTCCAAAGAGAGTGTTACACCAGGAAACAGACCAGAGAAATAGAATGCAGAGTGATGGTCACTACATTCAGAGCAGGAAAATGGTTCTTGGAAAACATGAGATAGGCACACCTGACCAAGTCAGAGGGTCCTTTGAGCTCTGATGGCCTCCTTCTATCAGCAGTGATTTATACAGCACTGCATGTATCTGATTCAGGGGAGGTGCTATGAGGACCTACAGATGGGAAGCCTGTGGATTTCAAGAAATTCAGCCCAGAGTTTTAAGTGTAAAATGTGATCCTTTCCTACATGTTCCCAGGAAGCGGATCCCTGGGGAGTTGGCAAAGGTGCTGAAACTATGCTAGATTTTGATCATTCTTATGTCTCAATACCAATCCCCACCATCATTTCTTCAAATCTCTTCCATACCTCTATAAAGGCTAGAGGAGACCCCAGGTGCTTGCCTGGAAGGAAAGGCTAGGGAAGAACAAGATGTGGGTCCAATGATAGAGCACTAGGCCAGGTGTCAAGAATCCAAGTCCCATTCATTCACTGTATGACCTTGGGCAAGTCCCTTCCCCTCACTCAGCCTCAGTGTCCCTCATGCAAAATGGGAGACCAGAAGGCCTGGCAATGAACCTAGGACTGCACTGTTAACAAGCTCCCTAATTTTGGTGCATGCTAAAGCTTGAGAACTAATGGACTACACGATTCCACCTCTCTTTCTCGTAGTGGTCAAGGGTCTACATGTCCAGCTGGCTTGGTTGAAACTTTGATTCCAGAAGTTCTCTATGGTACAAAGCTGAGAAAGGGAAACTCCTCACAGTAAGCTTCACAACCTTCTCATTCCTCCCTCCCCTTGTGCCACCACTATCAATGTCCTCCCAGGGGGGCAGCATACCCACACCATAGGTTATTGTGTGCCCCTCACCATACCTGTGAACATCGCACAGAAGTAGGGACTGCAGGCTGCCAGGACCACACGGTGGGCTTCTATTTCCACATCTTCTGCCACAATCATCACGTCACACAACAGCTGCTTACTGCAAGACACCAGTGAAGGGACAGGATGGATCACAGCACGAACACCTACCCACATCATACCAGGATATTGTTTTCTCCCACCCAGACTTCACACTGGTTTGCCACATGAAGTAGCCATAGAAATTTGCCCTATCTTGAGTTAAGCAAAGGGATGGGCTCCTTCATTCAAGTATTTGATAAATCTTCCACAAAAGATATCCAACTACTCTGTGGCTGTAAGTCAGGCTGCTTCATTGATCTTCACTCTCTGTTCCCAATACCATCAGCTCTGACTGAGAATTAGGGGGACAAAGGCTCAGAAAGCAGTGGCAGTACCTCAGGCTGCTAGTGAATGACTGAATGCTGAGGTACACGAGCACACCACCAAGTGTGCCACCAGCAAGACTGAGTGCTAACAACTCCCAGAGGGTTCACCCACATGCAAAACTGTAAGAGGCAAGCCAGATTCCAGCATGTCTCTTCACATCCAGATTTAACACTATAACCAAGAGCCCTCTACCTGCACACACATAACTGAAGACCCTTTGCAAGCTCCAATCACTACAACTGTCAAGGTAAAGCTTTACCCTGCATTTTTCTGGATAAGTGAATGAATAAATGGGAATCAATTCATATTCATAGACATATGGATATTTAAAGATTGACAGGGAGCCATAAGACCCTGTCAAACCAAGAATTTTTCCTTTATCAGCCTTCCAAGTTGTTATCATGTCTATAATTAATATAATGGATAACATTTATTGAGTTGTATGTGCCAGGAACTGTTCTAAGCATTTTTAACACATATTAGTTCATTTATTCCTCTCTACAACATGATGACATGGGGCTAATTGTTATTTTCCACATAAAAAATGAGGACACTGAGGCCCAGAGAAATTAAGTAACTTTCCCAAGGTCCCACAGAAAGGGAGTATAGAAAGTGGAGACAGCATTTTCATGCACATATCTCAGCCCTAGAACTCATTCTATGGTACCTAATCCTACTAGTGCCTCCTTTAGATGAAAGCACTACAGATAGGAGGGAAGACCAGGACAACAAACACATCTCAACCATGATTCACTGGTAGTGGTTGTTTAGCACACATATACTGGTACAAAAAATCTAAAGTCATGTCTGGGTTTTATGTGAGGATGCTGAAACCAGTTAATGAGTCTGCCATGCTTGGCAGATGGAAGAGAAACTACATATTTGCCATCTCAGGTCTAGTACATTAAGCCACTATCAACTATTAAGACAGGTTCACTTAGAGAATTGTGATCATAAAGCCTGAGACAGCTGGAGCTGCAACGCCCTGAGAGGTCGTGTGGTCTATGAAGCCCAGAGAAGTGAAGAGATGCCTGAGAAGGCCGATTCTCGACTCCAGAAATAGTGCTTTTCCCACTCGACCATGATGCCTCACAAGTGGCTGACACTCAGAATGGGAAAAGACAGAAAACAATGGGCTTCCAACACAACAGGTGGTCAGGAAATGTTCACCACATGGCGTAAAGTACCAGTGGTAGGCTTCTATGAAGGTAAGACCTGCAGGAACCAAGAGGTAAAACCTAGGAGTTGGGACCTCACCCCACAGTGGGCAGCAGACCTCACACACCAACCTTATCAGAACATCAGCACAAACAGGAACACAACTGATGCTGCCCCTATGAGAACATGAACAAATAAGCTTGCCACAGCTTTCGCACCTGTCTTAGTAGCCCTTAGGACACATATCACAGAAATAAAACGGAGTGGCAGGAAGTCACCTGAGAACAGGCTGTTTTTTAAGTCTGGTCAAAACTATTGTAAAAACTATATACCCAAAATGAATAGACAAACCTTGGATACTTTCACTTCTATTAAGGATTTTAGGAGACTTTAGTTACTGCTATTTATAGTTGCTATAGTTACTTCTATTTATGAATAATAATAATTTTTTAGATACCAATATTTTAAAGAGAAACAAAAAAGAGTCAAATTTTCAGTGCTAGAAGCAAACAAGCAAATGTCAGAATGAAATTTATTGCATATATCCAAAAAGGCTGATAATTTGTGAACAAATGAGAAAGAGATAAGAAGGAATGGGGAATAGAGATGATCCAGTTAAATAAATGAAAGAGAGCAGTTCCAACAGGTGGAAAACAAAACTCAAGGCCAAATAAATCTACCTGGGTAAATGGTCAAGAGAAATTTGCCGAAAAGTCAAGGTAAGCTTTCCCTGAAGGTAGGGAAAAGGCAGTACCAAAGCACTACAAGGCTCACAAGCAGTTCTGTTTCACTTATCAAAAATCCTATGGATTCCTTTCATTTTTTTCTGAGCTATGATACTACTCCAAAGAACAATCTTAAGGAGAGAAAAGTGGACTATATGCTTTACCATTTGTAGAAAAGTATAGTGTAGCTGTTAGGAAGGTGCTCAGGTATTAGAATCGAACTAACTGAAATTCAAGCTTCTGTCCCACTGCTCTCTAGCATAGGAGAGTTACACCATCTCCAGAGTATCACAGAATTGAGATATATCATAAAAGACATAATGCACAGTACTAACAGTCAATACTTGGCAAATATTAGTTTATTCTTTTTCTTCTTTATTCCCACAAGGTATTTTCTTTAAGAATAGAAGTTTTGGACATGATAAATGTGAGTTGTCTATTGGGCATCTAAGTAGGGTTATCAAGTAAGCAGATCTGGAGTCCAAAGATGGGAGATGGGTAAGAGGATGAAGGCCAAGCACAGTGAAGTGATGCATGCCTACAGTCCAGGCTACTAAGGAGTCTGAGTCATGAGGATCACAAGTATGAGGACAGCCTGGGCAATAGAGTAAGACCCTGATTCTATTTTTGAAAAAGTATGCGTGTGCACATGTGTTTGGGTGTGTGTGTGTGTGTGTGTGTGTGTGTATGGGGGGACAGCCAGCAAAAAAGACAATGTAGAACGAGCATAAAGATAACTATACATATCAAAAGAACAGAATTGAGAGTCCAGAAATTGATTTTGATTCTTTTACAAGGGCACCAAGAACTTTAACTGGGAAATGGGCTGGGATAATTGGTTATCAATAGGTAAAAGAATCAAGTTGGATCCCTACCGCCTACCATATGTAAGAATTAATTTACAATGATCAAAGACCTAAGTGTAAGAGCTACAACTATAAAGCTCTTAGGAAAAAAACACAGGAGTAAAGCCCATGATTTCAGGAAAGGCAATGTTTTCTTAAATGACACCAAAAACAAACAACAAAGAAAAAAATGACAGACATCTAAGTTTAAAACATTTGTACTTTTCAAAGGACACCATCAGGAATACAAGAAGCCAATTCACAAAATGAGAACAACTTTTTACAAATCATCTATCTGATACTGGGGTTTTATCTAGAACACAAAAATCCAAACTCTGGGAACTCAATAAAAAACATAAAAATAATCCAATTTTTTTTAGGAAATTGAGCAATGGAGCTGAATAGACTTTTCTCAAAATAAGATATAGAAATTATTCATATGCACATTAACTCATTTTCAACATCATGAGTCACCAAAGAAACGAAAATCAAAACAATAATAAGATATCATCTCACACCCACTAGGATGGCTATAATAAAAAAAAAAAACAGATAATAATGAGTGTTAAGAGAGGAATTGGAGAAATTAAAATCTTCATTCACTGCTTATGAAATGGAAATGGTACAGCTGTTTTGGAAAGTAGTCTGGCATTTCCTGCAAAGGTTAAACATAACCATATGACCCCGTAAATCCCTCTCCTAAATATATACTCCAGAGAAATGAAAACATATATCCACACAGAAACATGTACGTGAATGTTTGAAGAAGAATTATTCAATATTGCCAAAAGTGCTGTGTCTATATAATGAAATATTATTCAGCAATAAAAAGGAATAAGAGCTGAGATATGCTACAACATGGATGAACCCTAAAAATCATTATGCTCAGTGAAAGGAAGGTAAACATAAAAGACTACATGTGGCATGATTCTAAAATAGGTCAATCTATAGAGACAGAAAGTAGACTAGTAGTTGCCTGGAGCTAAAGTGGGAAAGGGATGAAGATAGGGGAAGAAGTGGGAGTGGGTAACTACTAAAGTACACTGGGTTTCTTGGGGGGGGGCAACAAAAATATTCTAAAATTGACTATGGTTGTATAACACTGAAAATTCAAAGTGATTAAACTGTATACCTTAAATAGGTGAACTGTATGGCATGTTAATTCTATCTTTATAAAGCTGTCACTAAAAGAAAAACAGAAAGCAATGTGTTTAGATGGTTCGTTGCTGGCAATAAAGGCATAATGTCAGGGCATCCAAATTAAAAAAAAAAAAAAATGAGGACTGAGAACTGTTTCCAATGTTGAAATGAGAGGTTAAAATTGTAAAGGGGATAGTATGAAGCTAGTGGTAGAGCAAATGCTTAATATGTGCCAAGACCCGGGTTCAATCCCCTGCCAGAGTGAGGGAGTGGGGAGGCCTGTTGAGTTGAAATAGGAAACACTGTGGGTTCTAAATACTCATTGGTTGCTTTGTCCTTCCTGCTTCCTTCTTTTCAGGACCAGTCGGGGTATGCCATTCGAAAGGACCACATCCCCACTACTGGCTGGATGGTAAGTCAGGGGCCAAAGAGTCACTAGGACTCTGCTGCCCAGAGGCACTGTGGTTTGACTAGAGCAGAGCAATTTAGTGCTAAAGGGAGAGAAAGCTGGGTGGTTACCATGCCAACAGCCCTTTCTCTACCATGGCAGTAAAAAATAATAGGAAACTCATGAATTGTGTGATTCATAAATTGCAAAAAAAAAAAAGTGTGCTTGAGCTAATATAGCATAAAATTAAGAGAGGGGAATGTGAAAACAACACAAAAAAATAACCCCAGATCCCTGGAATATCATATAACATTTCATTAGCTTAATCCTTCATGGCAAAATGCTTTAACCCAGGCCTACTTCTAAACAAAGTATGCCCACCCTCTCTCCATTTCCCATTAAAGTCACCCAGATCAATCAAGTATCCATCCAGGTCCCCTTTCTGCCTATTTCACTACAGTTTTTAGAAGACTATCATTTAAATATCTTGGAATTTGATACAGCCTTTTGAACACCATGAGAACAAAAGCTCCATAGAGGGAAAGACTTCGGTTCTCTTACCTACTGTCATATTCCAGCCACCTAGTAGAGTGTTTACCTCCTCCTCATCATCATCATCAGATAGCTGACACACAATATTCACTGTGTGCCAGGGCCTCACAGCAACATCTAAGGAACAGTTAGTATTACACTATAGACCATGGAAATTGGCAATTCTACTTCTAAGAATTAATTCCATAGAAATAACCGTGAATGTGCACAAATATTTAGCAATAGTAATAAATGTGGTATCACTGTTCTAAGTACTTTATTCATAAATCCTCTTAACAACCTAGCAAGACTGGTACTATTATTAGCCTTCTTTTACGGGTAACAAAAGTAAGACCAGGGAGATTAATTAACTTGCCCAGGGTTGCACAGTTAGTCAGCACTAGAGCCAAGATTTAAAATCAAAGTCTATGTGACCACTACATTATACTGCTACAAAGATAACCACTGAAGATATTTTTTATATATGGAATGGGGAAAACCTAGACATCCCACAACTGGGAACTGTTTTTGTTTTGTTTTTTTTTTAATAAAGCAAAAAAAAGAATATCATTCATTCAATGTTATAAAACAGTGACTATTTGACACAGTGCTACATGAATAAAAAAAATCAGGTTTAGACATATTTTAAAGAGAAAATAGGGGCCTGAGATTGTGGCTCAGTGGTTCAGTGCTCACCTGGCATGCCCTGGGTTCAAACCTCAGCACCACATAAATGTAAAATAAAGATACTGTGTCCACCTAAAACTAAAAAAATAAATATAAAAAAAGAGAAAATATTCTCCAAAGTGTTAACAATGGTTACCACTAATATTAAAACCGTAAGTGACTTTTTGTTCATCTGTATTTTCTAAATGTTCTGAAACAAATACATTCCTTTTATAAAAATTAATTAATTAATTAATTTTAAAAAGTGAAAGTGAAATTCATGCCTAAATTTGAATTAAAAATTTCCTAGGCAAATACATACAGACTGTGGTCCATTTGATTAATCAAAAAGAAGAAAAATAGATTATTTACTTAAATTTCAGCAGAGGACTATGTTTTATGTTTAGATCAGCATTTTCCAAACAAATTTCACAATATACTCAGTCTTTACCTAACAACACTCAATTATGTGTGGGAAATGTTCAAACAAGTATATTGCACATGCTAAATACATTATGCACCTCAGAGAGGTGTAGTAAATAGCTTTTTTCAAACTCATTTGGGTATGGTCTCTTTTATCCCACAGAGCATCCTGAGGAAACAAACATTACTCAGAACAAACTATGGCAAATGTTGAATAATACAAAAGAGAAGCAGCGCAGAACTGTGGGAGATTAAATCCAAGTGAAGCCCTACTCTTGGGAAAGATACAAATGCTAGTAACTTGTAACAAAAGCAGAGAGGACATAGGATGACTTTTTTTTTTTAAGCTGCTGAAGAAAATGAAATGATGCTAGTAATGGGAAGTGGGGATAGGAAGAATCCTCTATGCACATCTATTCCCTCTGCTCTCCCTTTCAATGGTCACCAGAGTTGGCTACACCAGGCAAAATAAGGCCTGATGAGAGAACTAGACTCTTAAGTAGATTCTTAAATCAGACAAAGGATACAAGTCATACCCAAAAAAACTAAGTTGGGATTCAAATAGTGTCTAGAGAACAACACACAAAGTCTTTAGTGACAAGAGACCAAGTCCATAGACATGAACATCAGCTCTGCCCTATGGCTAAGACAGCTAGGGGCAAAGCTTCCAAGAAATCTGGCAGGAGGCCTAATAAAAATTGAGCAGTAGAGCATAAGACAAATTTAATTAAACTTGTTTTTTAATGCCAAAGACTAGGCTGTGCAAAAAGAAGAAATGAAGAAACAAACATAGAATCAAACTTTTAAAAGTAGCTCATGCCCCACTCAACACTTCTTTGGCTATATGCCATTTCTCAGGCTAGAAGGTTTCTCCCTACCCCCAATATCCTTCATGTCTTTAATGCTGACTCAATCTTCCACATTCAGTTCAAGCATCATCTCTCTTTAAGAAGTATTCTCCAAAGTTAGTCGACATACTTATTTCTTCTGCATTATTTAAGAAACAAATTATTGCATATCTATCACCTGTCAGACACCTATTGTATTCCTCCTTCATAAGACCAGTCACACTATAGAAAGACGATTTTTATTAACCTATTTACATTTCTGATTTTGTTTCCACCCACCCATCCCAAGGCCTAGGCAGTACCTTTGGGCATCTTTGGTTAAAAAAAAAAAGAAAGAAAAAAAAAATCAAAGCTATTATGACGTACCAAGTGCTAGAGATCAAAATTACTCAGAAGTTGTCCCTGCCCGCTGGGAGCTCAAGAGCTACAAAGAAAAAAGGTGGTAAACAATTTCACTTTATAATACAATAAAGAATCCAGTAAATAAAGGTGGGCAAAGGAAGCTGCCGAGCTCTTTGGTAAGGAAGACTGCATGTGCAGAATTCATAAAGAAAAATATGTTCAGTGCCCTAAACCTGTATTGCAACAAGCTTGTCACACAAACACACATGGCCTTCCCAACAGCCTGCAGACCCTCACCATTGAGTTCTATGAGGATGAGTACATTTGTGTGTCATTTCTTTCTTTACAGAGTCAAACTGCATTTAGGGAACTAGGTATTCTTCCATTCATGTAGCTGTCCTGCCAAGCTAAGCTCAACCCGAGGCATGAAAGAGGGGCGAAAAGAAAATATATAACATCTACAATCTTTAGTTTGCAATTGTGTGTAGGTGTCGCAGTTCTATTATTGGTTTTTAAGCAGCTGGTTCAGTTGGAAATCAAGTTTAGGAACAGACCTGCTTTAACTACAAAGGAATTTTCCCCTGTGATTAATCACTAAAATGATAGGTGTTAAATAAATATAAAGGAAAGAGATTTTCTGGCAAAGTTGTTCTGTCTCAGAATTTGAAAAGGGGAAGGAAGCCAAGTGACTGAGAGTGGGTGGGGAAGAGTCATAATTCACTAGGTGGTGGCGTTCTGACTTCTGTTCTTGGTCCCTGATAAAGCTTCCCTGCAAGTTCCTTCTGAAAGGGCACAGGCGAGATAGGAAAAGTACCTCCGAAGCTCATTCATAACCTTGAAGGCCTTTCCCATGTGGGCTGGGTTGACAGTGACTGTCCTCTGGTTCTTCTCATCATCCCCAGCCTGTATCTGTGGCTGGGAGTTTGGCTTGACACTGTAAACAGGAAGGAAGAGGGAGGGGAAAGAGAACACATTAGTAAACCCATTCATGGGACTGCCATAAATCTGTGCATTTGCCCACCCACCAGGGACATCTCTGTCAGGATATTCTCCTCATCACAGACCAACAGAAAAGGAAATACACTGCCCAGCATTTCTGCAGGATCTTGCATTACAAAGTGCATTCCAATGAAAAAAGTCAGGTTCTAGCTCTGCTTCTTCCACAAATTCGGAGTGACTTGGTGAAAGATCCTCATGCTGTCCCCAACCTCCCTTCCCAAACTGGAGGGAGACTAAGCACTCTATCACTCACTACACTGGAATATTTGTTAATTAATACTTTAATTAACAAATTAATATTAATTGAATATTTTACTGCAGACAGAATGAGGATGTAGCTCAATGGTAGAACGCTTGCCTAGCTTGCAGGAGGTTCCAGGTTCAACTCCCAGTATTGCAAAAAAGAAATAAAAAGGGTACAAGTATTAAAATATTTAATATTTTATTAAATATTAAAATATTTAATGGAGGCAACTATGTGTCAAGTTCCATATTTAAGTTTAAGGAAAGCAAACAAATAAAGCACAGTATCTGCTGTCCCAAAGCCATTCAAACAGCCAAGTCCAATGGAGCAGAAAGCCAAGTAAACATTCAAACATCACATTTTAAGTATCATGATCCAATTGAGAAATTATCCCGGTGATGCCAGATTGAGAGAAAATTTCTAAAAGAAAAGATTTGGAGGAAGAGCAGAAATTAGCCAGGTAAAAAGGAAGTCAGACAGGAAATAGTATGCATAAAGACCTAAAGGAGAAAAGGAGCAAAGTGTGTTCAAAGTATAGGCAGTTCAGTAAAACTGGAGAGCACAGGAAGAGTATCAAGAAGACTGGGGAGTTTGGATCTCTTTCCAAAACGATGAGAAGACATCAAAGTGTTTCAGAGAAGTGGGAAACATGAACAGATGAACGAACTTGTGCTTTAGAAATATCACATTGGCTATGGTATGGAGAATAGTGGCACAATAGTTTAAGTTTCTAAGAAACCATAATCCTATAGAGAGACAAGGGACTATAACTGATGTGAAAAGAAAGGACATCTGGGTAGGCTAACTGAGCAAGTGAGCAGGTAGGGACCAGCAAGACTCACCCATAATCTCAACACCCTCTCTACTAAAAGCAAGAGACAAAACACTCAAATCCCTATGGGAAACCAGATAATTATCCAACTATCTTGAATTATCTGTTAACTTCATGGGGTGGGATGGCAGGGTAGAGGTTGGAAGAACCACCAAAAGAATGGGCAAGGAAAGGATATTCTCTCCAAACAGGTGAAATTATTTGGCTCCAAGGCCCCAGACTTACCTTGGAGCTATGTTTCAAACAAGCTAAGCTTTATTTTGCTAGTACGAAAACAGAACCTCCTCGGCTTGTATAGATTTGGGGACCCACAGTTTATGCCAACTCTAGGACACTGTAGCCTCCTTTGACTTGCCCTAGCGGACCTCTGTCCATCCTTACTCCCTGTCCTTGCCAAATGGCTAGACAAAGGAGCTGTTATAATTAAGAGAATGTTCCAGAAGCCTACACAGATCTCACACTGAGATTCAACTATAAGCAGCATATCAAACCACAGCTTGTCTGACCATAACAGACTCCTCCTCTGGCTTCCATCCCTACCTCAGTTCAGCATGTAAATATAAGCCATAGATATCTGAACTAGGAACTGTTTGGATTCTGGGTACAAGGAAATTAGCTGAGCAGAGGAAGATAAATATTGAGAGATATACAAGAAAGATTACTACCTGCTTATGCAGGTAAGGAAAATCTCAAGCCAGAAAATGTGATCAGAGAGGAAGCACCCAGCAAAGATGAAAAACTTCATATAAAAAAAATCCTACACACCTAATTTATTTTAGAGTTAGTGTCCTTCCTTATTCCAAAGCCAGAAAGATAATTTGTTTTCTACTAAAAGTTGAACATTTGCCCTTGATATTTAAGTCCTAATTTCATGTGATATTCTTTTGTGATATTCATTGTGTCCACACAATGTCTATTTCAAATAGACATTGTGTGGACATATTCATTGTGTCCACACAATGTCAAATAGAAAAGGTGATAGTATTCTTGCAATATTCATGATTTTAAAGATGCCTGTTGTGTTTTCCCACTATATATGTTTGTTACATGATTTTCATAGATGCTCCTTATCATATTAAGAAAATCCCCTTCTACTTTTAGTAAGGATTTTTTTTAAATAACAACAATATACTGGATTTTACCCAATGGTTTTATTTATCTAATAAGATGATGATGTGAGTTTTTTTCCTTTAATCTTTCAATGTGGTAGATAACAAATACTTGCTAATACTAAACCGTACTTGCATTCCTGGCATAAATATTCACTACAAATATTGTCTCCAAACTATAGAGAGACTTAAAAGCAAAGATGAATAAACAAAATTTGGTATGGATCAAGGAACCACTGAAAGGTTTTGACAGGAAATGAACAAGATTAGAATTCAGAAAATATTAACTCCACTTTACAAATGTGGAAGAGGTGTAGAGCAAGTAGGGCCACTTTGGAAGTACTGAGAATAATCTCCACTGTGGTTAATGAACAGGAAAGCTCATTATTCCTTTTGTTGCTCTTTGTACTTTCCAGCCTTCCAGAATGGTCCAATAACAGTATAAATCCCCATTAATACAATGTTGTATTTACCAACATTGCTAAACATTGATTGCCTATTGTCAGAGGATTAAAGTCCAACAAAATTCAATTCACACTATGGCCTCCCTGAAAAAGCAGTGTCTTGCTGATGACCATAGGGTTGCCCAGGCAAAGGACATCAGTTTCCCCAATCCATCCAAACTCCTTTCCACCCTTGATGCAAAAGGACATCAGAAGGAACCCAAGGCCTTTTTCTTCTCCTGCTCTGCAACTCTGTGAAGACACAGGAAGGCTGAAGAGTTCTGGATCCCTGGTTTCTAGAAGGTATAAGTTTCTTGGCAACTCATTGACCTTCAAGAGGAACACAATGTTAAAGAGAGTGTCTGAGGGATCTGAGAAGTTAAGAATCTCACACAAGATAATACAAACATCCTCAAACTATTTCCTCCACAGCTTATACCCCCCCACACACACACGAGCAATAGAGTAGATGCATGTACATAAATGTGCGCGCTCGCGCGCGCACACACACACACACACACACACACACACGCCTCAGCCTAGGACATGCCCAGAAACAGAGTTGCTAGATTCTACATTTCCTCCCCAACCTTTTCTCCCTCAACTCATAGCAGATCTTGACTTAGTTACAATAGATTGTCCATCATCTATCAAGGCCCAATCCCCAGCATTCTCAGTTCTTGATCCCAAATAAGCGGGTAGATCCACTCTCGTCACTGCAAAACACAGACCACACTGAGTTATATTACCAACCTCTTGTCCAAGTCCAAGACCTTGGACTTTACTTTTCACTCTACTCACATTCATGAAATTCTCTGGGAAGACTCAGCCACAAGATGCTTTATGACAAAAAAGTATTTATCAGTAAATATCCTTACTACAAACACATAGTGGTTGAATTCTCCAAAGCAAACACTAACTCCAGCCCCATTAAAATCACACCAGCCTCCAAGAATCTCCATCTAGATCAACTGAGGTGATTCAGTCTTTAGCATCTCATGATCTGACAAGAGGTATGCTACCTACAAAATTCCCTCCATATCAATTTATCTATGCTCCTCTCAAGACTTGAAGCTCTGGTTGCTGAACAAAAGAGACTTCACCTACACCCCAATGTCCAAAGTTCCAGAAACATTCTAGTTGAACATAGTTAGCATTCAAATTTGTCGTCAGTCATAGATGTAGTGAGAAAGTATGGACCAGGAAAACTCCTCACTCCTTCCTATAGAAATATGAAGAAATGATCATCTAAGCCATTTTCTAGACAAGCTACAGCAGAATCAGAACATACCAAACTAGTCAACTTTGTAAAACCACTAAGTATCTGGCTGAATAATTTAATCAATTCCACACAATGACCTGTTCCTCAAAAACATACTCGTTTGAACTAACACTGGTGCCATGGTGAACTCACTTAAGTGAATTATTCCCCTAGCCCAACTGGTAAAAAGGCCAACAACCTATCAACAGCCCACAGAAATAGAGTGTAGAAAGGAGGTTCAGATAATCTCCCAATCTCTCAAATACCTATTCACCCCATTTAGGAAATCATACATGTGAAATGGTCCGAGACTCATAGCCATAAGGATAGACAAAGCTGGCCCTGGACCTTTCTTCCTGGGCTTTCTGCTGCTTTTCTTTCCAGGCTTAGACAACTATAGTGGCTTCCCACCTGCTCTTCCCCATTCCAGATGCCCTCTCTTCAAGTGCTTCCTGCACACCATTGCCAAATGGATCTTCTAAAAGACCACTGGGATCATGTCTTTCAGATCCTCACTGTCCACAGATCTCTTCACAGTGGGCATGAGGATTATGTGCTGGAGGTTCCATCAGAACTATTTGTTTTATATATCAGTGTCTATGTAAGATATCCTTCAAAAGGACTCTACAAATAAAAAGCTGAAAATTCATCAGCCTGCAGGATAAAGTCATAATTCCTGCATAGTATGCAAGGCCCCCTAAAACAGAACTGCACTTCAGCTTTGCCTTACTTACTCAAATATTTACTAAGAATCTATTATGTATCAAGCAGACAAACAATCCATTGCAAAAATATTTCCTGGATCTCCCTGTGTCATAACCTAAACACCTGTTCTCCAAGGAACAGTTAAGTCTTGCCTCCTCTAGGATGCCTTATGAACACTTCAGTCTGAAGTGATCTCTTCCTTCCCTAAATTCTTAATAGTATTTCTAGTCTATAACTCAACTAGCATACAGAATACTGCCCTGTGTTTGACTCCTTTTTCATGGTACAAATCTCACCACTTACTTCCCTCACAAGAGATTCAACATACCTGGAGGGCGAGG